TCTTAAATACACAGTGCATTATCATCTTTTTCCATTTGAAAAGAACCTTAAGCACAGAGAAGGTAGATTTGAGGGGAAGAATAGGGAACGGCACTGATTTGGATTGGGTTGAAAACATTGGCCCTACAGGTGTTGTTTGTAAGGAGTGATATTTTTCCAAGTAGAGTAATACTTGGAATTTTGTGAATTGATTAGAATCTAAGGTACAGCTGGCTGCTACTGCAGACTTTTCTGTAGCTGCTGTGGAAGGCAAGATTTGGTTCACGTGTAGAGTATAGCATATTTGTGCATATTTTGAAGAAGCGTCTGCCTGTTTATGTTTCAGAACAGAGGTTGGCAGACTTCCTGTAAAGGCTTAGAGGGTAAATTTTCTAAGCTTTGTAGGCCATACAGTCTGTGCTGCAGCTATTCACTTCTGGCTTTGTAGGGTGAAAGCAACCACAAACAAGGCACACACATGGATGGGTGTGGCCGTGATCCAGTAAAACTTTATGTACAAAAAGGAGGCTAGATTTAGTTTGTCAACCCCTGCTTTAGGTCATCAGCATTTCCTGTTTGGGACATTTGGTATTTTCTGGTTAGTTTTCACAGTTGCAAATGGAGGAAAAGGATACCCTTTCACTTGTAGCTGTGTGCTGCATTTAATGGCTTTTACTGATGGTGGTATGGATTAACTGAATGACCTGAACTTTAAATGAGCAGTAGAATGATAAAGCAGCCTTAAGCTCCGTTCTCTCTCACAATAGGCGGGATAGTCAACAAATTCTGGTAAATTTACCTTTAAAAAAATTCTCTGGAATTAAGGTTTTACCTAATCACTTGGTTGGAGTAAAGCAATAATCTGATAGCTTTCTCCTAAGTTTCCCTCTCTTACCTATGTAATGTTGCCTAAGCTATCTTTCTAAAATAAAAGTATTGTGGCATACTTCTCTCCTTTTCTATACAGGGATTCCTAGTCACCCAGAATGGTGCTTGTTATTCCTGAGTCCCTTTAGAAAATCATTTGATAGCTATGGGCCCAGGGAAAGGAGAGTTTTTCAGATATGTGCTCATGTATGTAATTCTTGTACTCCTGGAGAGTTGGGCTGCTCATAGCCCTGGAGTGTCACTTATGATCTTTTGGTTAGGAAATCTTGACTCAGAGAACAATGCGCAGTCTTCTTTCTGTGCTGTTAAGTGCTTCCTGAGTCAGCTAAAGGCTACCTTTGCAGTTCACCTTTCATGTGCACATGCATACCTTTGTGGGTTTTCTGCAAAGAACTGACCAACATTCTCTTGTCATGCCAATTTCTTCCATTCTTAGGGCTTTGCAAACAGTATTTCCTTTTGCCAGTGTTATCCTTAACCATAAATGTCTCTTCTATCTGCTCAATTTCTACTTGTTAACACTAATCTCAGATAGGAGATTCTCTGTGAATATATTCTTCACATCTCCTTGGCAGACAATTATGAAGGAATTCAAGCAAATGAGACATGTAAGGGGAGGAAGAGGGAAGGATTGAAGAGGAAGTTTCTAGGAGTAATTCCTTGATCTTCTAGAGAGAACTCCTTCTTAACTTCTCTGGGCCTCAGTTTCCTAAGTTGAGTAGCACAATATTTATCTTAAAGTGCTATTAGAACAAATGAATAGTATTCCAGTCTCTACAGCACCTCAGTATTTATACAGGAAACTACCTTCTGGTCATTGCATGGCCAGGAACTTGTGCAGGAATAAAAGCATCTTTACATACTTTTGTACTGTCATTTCTCAATTAAAATGTACTAGTGGAAAACATGCTGTAAATGTATTAGAAATCTTTTGAAATTCTTCTGCTGAAATTACTCTAAGGTTTGTGTGTCCACAAGTTACTTCGTGAATACAGTCATCCTTGGTGTCTGTAGGGAATTGGTTACCAAAATCTACAGATACTCACTCATGACTCCTGTTTCAAATGGTGTAGTAGCCAAATGAGGTTGCCTACCCCTGTAATCCCACATACTCATACTTGATAGACCGAGATAGGAGGGTTGCAAGTTCAAGGCCAGCCTGGACAACATGTTGAGACCCTGTGCCGAAAAATAAAAATTAATTTAAAAAGTGTCATATTTTCATATAACCTCTTCACATCTTCCTACATACTTTAAATCATCTCTAAATTACTTATAATACCTAATCTGATGTAAATAGTTATACTGTGTCATTTAGCGAGTGATGACAAGAAAACATTTGTATATTTTAAGTTTTTCTTCAAATATTTTTATCTGCAGTTGGATGAATCAGAGAATGTGGAACCCGTAGTTATGTTATTATATGCACTGTTACTTTCAAAGTAAGTGTCTTTAATATTTGAGTACCTGATACTATTTTGCTAGTCAAGTGCTGATAGAATGGATCTCTGGTTCTTACAAATTGACACATAGGTTTCACTGCTCTGTGAGTGACCAGGAGAGGGGATAGCCTATCAAATTCGCAATTGTGCTGAGCACAGATTTGATCCTCGTTTGCCATCTAGTAGGCACAATTTTTAATCTCTACTGTTTCGTGTAGTTTTTTGTTGCCAGTACTATCTTCCTGCTTGCTCAAGCTAATCCCTAGAGACCAAAGAGAAGAAAATTGCAGTAGATCTAGAAGGAGGAATTTTGGGTAAATTAAAGACTAAAATGTAGACTTTGTGGGCAGTCTAAATTCATGAAGTAGATGAGTTTACTTTATAATACTTACGGTGATATGAATAAGTATAAGTTATCTCAGACTTTTAGAATCATTAAATGCCTGTAGGAGTAAAAAGAAAATTATACTTTAATGTTTTATGTGCCATGCTAGTACTCTCAAATTTGGGGATTCTTCAAATCCCTCATATCAAGACTCTGTTGTATTTGAAGTCATTGTGTAGGTATCCATTCGTTCAACCTTATGAATTCAATAGAAATACGTGATACCACCTCAGTCTCTTTCTCTGTGTCTCTGCTTCCTCTTTGATTCCTGCTGAATGAAACTTGTAAGATCCTTGTAATTTAGAAGTCCATTTATAAAGACTTTTTGTTGTTGTTGTTTTTGTCTTGTCTTGGGTACAAGAGAAAGTAAGTGAAGACTTTTCTTTTTCTGTCACAGGCATCACCCTTTCTACCTCTTTCTCCAGATGCAGTTCTTAATGCTTCTCATCTCTTGAATTTAGCTACCTATGTTGTACTTACACTATTGGTAGCCCTCTGCTGAGAAAGGATTTCATCTGTCCCAGCCTTTGTACATACTATTTTCTTTGTCATCTTGTTCACTTAGTGAACTATTAAAGTGGAGAGAGAAACTAGGTATTTCCTCTCTGTTATTCCCTTATTTCTCCAGTATTTAAACATTCAAGTAAGGATTGGTAGGGAAAGATAGTTTAGCTTTGCAGAAATGCACCAAGGATTAGCAAACAGATGTACAATTAAGACCTATCTCTGGTCAGGCAACTGTGGTGTCTGTAATCCCAACTACTGAGAGCCCATCTCAAAAATACCCAACACAAAACAGGGCTGGTGGAGTGGCTCAAGTGGTAGAGTGTCTGCCTAGCAAGCATGAGACCCTGATTTCAAAAAGAGATGGCACAGTAGCAATGCAGAGCTGTTCGTATTAAGTGTCTGGGCCAACTTCGATTCCTATCTCCCCAGCAGCAGCAGCAGCAGTAATTGTTGAGTGAAGAACACTTGGGGTTATTTGCCCAAGATTCTGAATATCAAGATCTTCAGTGGTAGCTCCCACCAAGATTTATCCCAGAAAATTGCTGACTCTCTGGGCCTGGAGCTAGGCAAGGTAGTGACTAAGAAATTCAGCAACCAGGAGACCTGTGTGGAAATGTACATGAAAACTTCTGCATTGTTGAAAGTGGCTCTGGTAAAATTAATGACAATCTAAATGGAGCTTTTGTTCATGATTAATGCCTCCAAGGCTGCTTCAGGCAAACAGGTTACTGCAGTCATCCCATGCTTCCCCTTATGCCCAGACTCCAATCTTAGCCAAGCTTGTCACTAATATGCTATGTGTCAGGTGCAGATCACATCATCACATCACCATGGATTTCCATGCTTCTCAAATTCAGGGCTTTTTCGATATCCCAGTGGACAACTTGTATGCAGAGCCAGCTGTCCTGAAGTGGATTAGGGAGAAAATCTCTGAGTGGAGGAACCAAACAGTTGTTTCACCTGATGCTGGTGGAGTTGAGAGTCACTTCCATTGCAGACTGGTTGAATGTGGACTTTGCCTTAATTCACAAAGAATGGAAGGCTAATAAAGTGGACTGCATGGTGCTAGTGGGAGATTTGAAGGATTGGGTGGCTATCCTGTATATGACATGGCTGACACATGTCACAGTCTGCCATGCTTCCGATGAACTTCTCTCAGCAGGATCCACCAGAGTTCATGCTATCTTGATTCATGGAATTTTTTCTGGCCCCACCATTTCCCGCATCGACAATGCATGTTTTGAAGCAGTAGTAGTCCCCAATACCATACCTCAGAGGACAAGATGAAGCATTGCTCCAGAGTACAGGTGATTGACAGCTTCATGATTCTTGCAGAAGCCATCAGGAGAACTCACTATGGGGAGTCTGTTTCTTAGCTGTTCAGCCATGTCCCTTTATAATAGAATAACTTCTGAGGCTTTTTAAAAATAAAACCAACCCCACCCTCTGTTTTCCCTTGGTATTTGATGACAAATTAAGCAAAAGACCCAGCTTGCTCCTGTGTAGCTTTGTACATCCTACATCAGGTATATTAGAATTCATTCTAAATTGGGGAAAACAGACTGAGATTAATTGCTGGGATTTCCAAGCTGAGTTGTCTCATTCTGGCTTCCTTGGTGATTTTGTGAATCTGCAGCTTTAACTAGAGCTCAGCTACTGTGATGTTTGAGACTTTTGAGGATGTTCTGTACAGCTGTTTTGATGTGGTTGGCAAATCTCAGACTCCTTTGCATGAGAATGCTTGGGGGTTTTTCTTTGTTCAGAACAGTTATCAACAAAGCCAGCCCATGTGTATCAAGTCCTCCAAGGTCTATGCAACATTACAGCAAGAGCCCTGAGCAATGCAAAACCTAGTCTAGGTGGCTGAGCACCCTGGGAGGCAGAAACAGGCAGCTCAGAGTAGCTGTCAGGTGGGATCTTGAGGGGAAGAGGAGGTAGGTCATTGTACCAAATGTTTCTTGGGAGGAAGAAGCTTAACTGTGTAGCTTGAATTCTGCTTTGTACCTATGCCTTTCTACTTGGTTTCACCTTTAGCCATCTTGACCTTTTCTTGGCCAAATCATCTTGGGCCCAACTGATCAGTACCAGCCTTTTGGAACACACTTGCTTCTTACTGTGTAATTGTCAACGTTCTCAGCAAATTATATAATTTGCTGTAACTTAATCTTTAGTCTACTACCACTATGCTAGTAGGTTTTAGGTGGTATCGTAGTCCCTTTTGACTAATTTAAGTATTTAATTTTCATCTTTCCTTGCATCCATTTGGCCTCTCAAATGACCTAAGAGTTGGTTTTTTTTTTTTTTTTTAGTAAAAAAGGTCGATGTCATTGTCTGTTATACAGGAAACTAATAAAATGTCTGTGTGTCAAAACAAACCAAACTAAAAGCCCAGTTCTATCTCTGTCATTAACTGATGGTGTGAGTTTGGTCAGATCATAAGAATTCAGCATTGGATTTGTGTTTTCATATGTATAATCTGGAGATTGGGATAAAGCAGTGAATTAGCAAACTTTCTTTTTTTCCTTTCCTTTACCTTTTATTCCTTTTTTCATTCTAGCACATTTGAAAGCTATGATACTTTCTCATCACTGTAAATTCCTACAACCATGATTTTTCATGGAGATTGGGGGTAGGGAAGGTGTGGGGGCGTTCTTGGAGTTTTGGGACAAGTATTAAAATGAGGGAAGATCAGAGATTTGAGATACATCCCAAATTGGGATTTTTTTTTTTTTTTTTGGGTGGTACTGGGGTGTGAAATTAAGGCCTTGTGCTTGCTAGGCAGGCACTTTACCACTTGAGCCACTCCACCAGCCTCAAGTTGAGATCTTTAAAGTACCTTCCATCTCTTAAATAATATTCATCTGTATTATTCTGTTAGCATGAGTGAAAATATTTGTATGTATGTAGCTTAGTTCCAAAAAGCTGTTCATGAGCCCATTTTGGCTTTCTAGTCCAGTTACCAAAAGTGACCACTATTGCCATCTGTTGGTAAGAATTGTACTTTTTTTTATTGGATGTGTAGTTTTCTTAGTTCTATGAAATTTTGCAAGCTGAGGAGCTCATGTATATACTTCAGGAGAATTTACAAAGTTTTTCTCTTAACCCATCCCTTTACTTTGAAATAGTTTCAAAATAGTAGTAAAGTTATGAAAATAGTTTATTAGGGTACTCCACAGAATATATACACATATATACACATGGGATGTGTGTATATATTTGTATGCATATCCACTCATTATATAATAACATACATTAATTTTAATATGTAATTGCATATAGATGAAATTACTATATCTATTATTTTTATATATGCACACATTGTACATGTACACACACATATATATATAAATAAGGAATTGGCTTACATGGTCACAGAAGCTAGGAAGTCCCAAGATAATGCTGTGGCAAGCTAGAGACCTAGGAGAGCCGAGATGTAATTCAGCTCCTCTAACACTACCCTGCATTCTCTGATGGTCCATTGTGGCACACTTTTGCCAGATATTTAAACCTATTTCTGATTCAGTTGCATTTTCATGCTTTAATTTCCTATATAAGCATGTTGGGTTTTTTTTATTTCAAATATGCAATATTACGAATTTAAAAACTTTTAAGGGCCAGTTTTTTGAGTAGAGAATCTGCCCAAAATGTACACATTCCTGCCAGAAACAAAAACACATAAAACAGAAATGCTTGAAGCAGTTTATTTTTTTTTACTTGGAACGTCCTTTTGTTATTTGAATTACCAGTTAACTTATATTCCTATTTGGCTCAGGTGACACAAGAGATCTGAGTTCTTTTTGTATTAGAATTATTTAGTAAATTCCCTTCACTGACTTGTACGAAGAGATAAAGCATATTCTTTAAATTCATTCTAGTATAGTTCTCTCCATGATATTCAGACATTTGAAAGTCTCTTCCTGTATAAGTTATTCAATTCTAGGCCATTTAGGTAGGTATAAGGAAATAAAATTTTCCACATAGATGTGGGCTAGTTTACACATGGATTAGCCCATTACTTATATAATTTAGTACAAACCCAACAGAATTATATCTGGAAAGGCTTATGTGTAGAATCTTTCTAAAATTAATATAAAACAATTTTAATTCATTGAATAAAATTATTGTTTTTGCTTTTTTAGAGACAGAGAATCTTGTTGTGTAGCGCATGCTGGGCTTCAACATGCATCCTCCTTCCTCCTTCCAAGTGTTGGGATTGCCTAGCTACAGGGGTGGTATTTTTCATTGTTTTTACTTCTTTTGCTTTGACTTCTTACCCTTCGGCTTGTCTTCCTTTGCAATTGTAAACATTTCTTCTGTAGAAATCATGTGACTCTTGAAGTTGACTCATACTGTAGGGAGTTACAGTATCTCTGGATTTTGCAATCTCTACTGTTTCCCCCTCCTAGCTATTTTTAACTTGAACAGAGTAGGAACAACCTTTTCAGTTCCCTTTTTGTCTCTTTCTGGATCTCCTCTAGCTGTTCATCTCTACTGTGTAAGATTAGCCAAGTTTTTATTGTATATCCTGCTAGTAGAAAACACCCCCAAAACTTTAGCTTTTATTATTATTGTGCTATATTGTGTATTCTAATGTTTAAAATAAATGATAGGATTGTCTGTAAAAGGAGTAGTAGTTTATCTCTTTTATATAAAAGCATGTTATTTAAAAAAAAAGCTATGGATAGAAGTTAATTTTGAACTTTTAAAACACTTTGGCAATGATCCAAAAATATTAGTCATTTAACAATCTTATTATCTCTTCTAACTTCACTTTCATCTGCTATAAAGTTAAGCAGAAACCAGGACGGGTTTTTCTACTTTGAGAATTGCTAGTTTTTCATGTATGATTGCTTACCGGATGGACCAACTTTTTGGTGCATTTTTTGTTTGAGTTTTTATTTTTCCTCCTGTTGATTGAGAATATAGCTGGGTATGGAATTCTGAATTGATGGTTATTTTCTCTTAGCACTTTGAAGATACTATTCCAAGTTTCTGTTGGTGCTGTTGAGAAACTTTCAGTTCAGTTTTGTTCCTTTGTAAATAATTTGCTTCAACTCAACTAATTTTTAAAATATATAATATATACAGAGTATGATTCTATTTATCTTTCACAAGATTGATTTCTGAATAAGAAAAGTTATGTCTTGCACAAGTTCTGGAGGCTTCTCAGCCTTAATCTTTTTAAATATTGCCTTTCTTTCATTGTCTTTCCTCTGGAATTCCTCTTAAGATGGTGTTAGATCTTTGTTTTTCATTTCTTATAATCCATTCACATTTTCCATTTCATTAAGTCTTTGTGTATGATTTTTATACAGTTTAATTTTTCTGTTTAGTTCATGCATGCTCTCTTCAGTAGTGCTTAATCTGATAGTTAATTCTGCAATGACTGTTAATTTTAACGTTTACTTTTTTTACAGATGTTTGTCTTTATCATGATGTCTGTGTTTCTGATTTCTTTTTTAAGGCTAGTGATTTTAATCTTTCCTATTTTATGTACTGTATCTGATAATATTTTATGTGACGTTCTTGGGAAGTAATCCTAGTAAAAGTTATTACCTGTATTTTACTCACAGTTGGTTGTTTGCTTATCAAGCTGATAATATTTTTATATTGAGTTTGTGAGACTCCACATTTCCACCAAATGTCTTGAGTTCCAGGAGTCTCACTGGCTTGTGAATGTATTTTATGTGAATTTCTTGTCTTGAAGGTCAATGTTAATAACATAAATTCAAATTCTATACCTGTGTGGGAGCGTACCTGGTATTATGAATTTTGAGGGTGGGTATCTTCTAGCTTCAGCATTAATCCCAGGCTAACACAGACAAAAAAGTGTCCTCATCTTGCTGTATCAGGATACATTTCTCCCTACCCCCCAGTACATCTAATCCCTGATGAGTTAGGCTTTGACCTCTCTGGCATTACTACAGGTGATGTATGGGGATGGGGTGGGAAGGAGAGAATATTTGTCTTAATTCCATTGCCCTTTCTTAGTAGCCTTCTCTTTTCTTTCCATCTGGTATCAGATTGAAGCTCCTGTTCTAAATTTCTCTGAGAGTCCAAAGAGTTTAAGATTTTTTTTTTCAGCTGTATTTCTGCTGGAAATAAAAGCCTCATCATACTCTGTTAAATCAAATTGTTAACGGCACTGGTGCAGTCTGTGATCAAACGACTTCCAAATTCTTTGTATCCCACTTGGAAGAATCCACGGCAGGACAGATGGTGTAAACTTACCAAAAGTTAGAGAAGAGAAATACAAAGGGATCAGGGTGGGGCCCAGTTGGAAGCTGGAAGCCGAGAGAGCATGTTTCTGCTCTTCAGGTGCTTTTAAAACCTATGATAAAAAGATAAAGTTAGGAAACCCAGTGAGTGGGGAGGGGCATGGGTGGTTCCTGGCCAGGTGAGGGTGATTCCTGAGCCAAAGTACGGTTAATCTAAGATGTAATGTTTTTTTCTATGAGTCCCAAACTTTCCCTACTTTAGTCTGCCTCAAAATGGCATCATTTGTAGTCTTGTGTGTGTTTTTTTATTGTTATTCTTCCTGTTTTGTTACTCTAGCATTTAATTTTATCCTATGAGTGATTGCTTTGTTCAGTCATTTACTTAAGTAGATAATTGAAGTCAAATATGCTGTTTGTTCCTGAATGCAAAGATGAAAGTTTTTTTATTGTTGCAATTTTTTTAAATAAGGGTTTTTAACGTTAATGAACTCAAAGATCTTTAAGGAGAGATAACAAACAGTGAACATTCATTCAGCAGTAGAATTTTGACAAAAGACCAGTAGAAACAAAGGCCTGAGAATAATGAACTCTGGGGGCAGCTTTGGACAGGGAACTCTGTACAACCCCAGATATATACCAGAACCTCTTCTTTTTAAAGTTGTTATTATAAATTGAACTTTTAAATGAGTGGCAAATAACAAAAGTAATCTTGCTTATTCCTGTACCAGAAATGGTTTTATGCATTTTCTATTAAATTTTTTTTTAGAATACCTCAGTACTATCTATGTCAAAAGCAAAATCTTCTCTTTGTTGCTCCTCAGCATTTTGACGGCTGTAATTATTGAAACAAAGTACTGGGAAATTTGAGACTAATTCCTCATTTTCTTAGATAAAAAAATAAAGCAATGTAATTTTACTTGTCACACAGTCTGAAAGTAGGTTTGCTTGCATGACACACAGGCTATTTACATCTTTGAGTCTCCCCAGGAGTGTTACTTAAAGTATACCTTTAATTTTTATTTAAAAATAAATACTAAAAAAATAAAAAATAAATGTTAAAAGCAAATTCTGTAGTAACTTTTAAATTCTGAATTGCAATTATGGTGTTCTAATTTTACCCAATTGTTTTTTTCTCTTGAAACTTTACAAGAATATTACAAGAAAATTTGTTATTCAACCTGTCACTGCCATTTTAATGTTTTTTACTTGTAATTGTCCCTTTGAATTTTTAAAATGTAGGTTCCCCCCCAACCAGACTTAAATACTTCTTAATTTGTGGACTATTGTTCTATATCAATTCCATTAAAACCTGACACCAGTTTGTTGTTGTCAAGTTAAGCTGGAAGTCATAGGACTAGAATGCACACTCTTACAAGTGTAATTCAAACACTGAGACATGAAGCATTCACAGGTAAGTTCAAATTATTTTATAAAGAAAAGCAGCCCACATATTGCTCTCATTTACAGATACCCATGATTTTAGTTAGTGAATTGTATACATTTATTGTACAACATACAAAAGAATAAAAGCTAAGTCTTACCGAGGTATTTTAGCAGTTGTAAGAAGAAAATCCAAGGGCACAAACTTTTAAAGCTTTTGTGTAAACTTAAACACTGTTAGAGTGGAGACTGGGAGGCAATAGAAATGTGTTATTAAACCAGAATTTAGAGGTTTGTCTAGTCAGATTTATAAGAACTTCCTCAAAACTGCTTCAAAAAGTGCACACACTGCAGTGGTTATTTGTCTCAAATCAGACAGTTAAATCTACTGCAGTAGTAAACATTTAAAATCTGTGTTCCCTAATGACAGTATTGCACTGTAGAGTTCAAACACAAGGGAAAGAGAAAGGTGTAGACTCAGGTGCTAAAGAAAGTAAAAATGAACAATAATGTCTCATGTACAAAGGCATTGAAGTTGCTTCTGACTTTCACTGTTAAAAAATAGTGTTTAAAATAGTGTTAAAAATATTGATTGAATTGTTTTACATCTTTTTCTCTTGTGAGTTTAATAAGATCATTTTCTAGAACTGAGATTTTGGACCAGCTGTTAATATGAGTATGTCAATTCTGTATTGTCCAAATGTTTCCAAAGAAATTGTACCACTTAATTACATTTCACTGCCAGTTTCCTTATAGTAGAAAACTGCTTAGCTTTTCTAGGGTTTTGCATAATATTTCTAATGATGATAGCATAATATTTCTAATATTTAGCATAATATTTCTAATGATGATAGTATAAATTATCTTAGAAAAGAATATGCAAGCCAGCCGCCAGTGGCTCATGCCTATAATCCTAGGTACTCAGGAGGCAGAGATCAGGAAGATCGTGGTTCAAAGCCAGCCCAGGCAAGTAGTTCTTGAGACCCTATCTCGCAAAAAACAACATAACAAAAAGGACTGGTAGAGTGGCTGAAGGTGTAGGACCTGAGTTCAAGCTCCAGTACTGGAAAAAAAAAAGAATATACAACCATTGTGGAATAAGATTAATAAGTGAGAAATTTTTGTTTTAACTTAATTCCTTATTGATTTATTTTAAAAAGCATTAGTTTCTTGTTGGGAATATCATTGAGAAGGTAGGCAGTTAGGTGGCTGAATGATTGTGCCTACAATTTGATAATCTGTTTCTGTGAACTCAAGGAAGAAAATAAGTCTACACATTTCAGTATTTCCTGTTTGGGGATTATACTGCTTGGAAAGAGCCAGTATCCTTTTTTTTTTAAAGGGGAGAGTGCGAATGCCAGTATCTTTGTTTTGGAATTTAAACCTCAAAGACAGCCAGAGTAATGATCTTTAGAAGTTGAAGCAGATGAATTTAATGAAGAAAATAATTGTGGTGCTTACAATATATCTTAGTTAAATTCACCCCTCCATTATTCTTGAATAACAATTTAAAGCAGGCAGAGAAAACTTGATTCTGTCTGATTATAGTTTATAAATGCGTTAATGTTATTCCTACTTATATTACCTCTTTTCAGTAAATAATACTGATAGAATTTACGTATTTAATATGTAAAGTAGGTTAAAGATGTTCAACAGTTTAAATAGAATCTTTTTCTTAACACTAGGGGGCACTCTTCATTTATGCATTCATGTCATATGTAGTCTGCATAGAATATGAAATTATTTGAAATCATTTCATTGCAAGTTGAGTAGCTACTATCAGAGGGAATCAGAATCAGCTTTTTTAAAAATTAGGATATATTCGTTGTGTGGAGGCAGGGATTCATTGCGACAATTCCAAATAGGCTTATATTGTACATTGGTTAGATTACCCTCTCCCCATCCCACTTCAGGCAGTTGCAAGAAGTTTCATTGTTCTATTTCATATATGAAGTGCATCCACCATATTCCTCTCCGTCATTCACCCTCTTCCCTCCCACAAGTACCCCACATACACTGTACCAATTTTACAGTTCTGTCTGTGGTTATTAACTTCTAAGTCCGTGTTCAAAGGGGTTTCTTGATGTATTCCTGCTGTGATTAAACCTTACTTCGGTCTGTTCAACACCTTCCATTATTCTCCCTTACCCTTTTCCTCCCACTTCCATCTAGTTAGTTTTGTATAGCAGTGTAAATATAAGTTGATTCTCAATAGTATTGTCAAGAATAACTTTACTGAATGTGAGCTAGTATATATTGGAGGGAATTACAGTACTTCTGTGCTTTATTCATTTTCACATTGTAAATAGATTCTAAATGATTTTAAAACCATATTCAAATATATTTCCTATTTAGAAAAATTTTAGCATGATTTATTACTAGCAGGTGTTTAGGCTAATCTGAAGAAATGAAGATAAATTTAAGATGTGACTGAGGCTGTTATCATTAGTAATAATTTTAAGCATTTGAAAACCAGGAGCATATTTCATTCCATCCAGGAAACAGATTTTAGGCATTATCATTCATTACATTTGTAATTAGAATTGTAGTGACGCTCACCATATATATTTCTGATTGCCAGAAGGACATTTCTCAGGTTTTGTCTTCATTATTTAGAAGTATCTGTGGAATTAGTAGGTAGTAATAAAATCTGCATATTCACAGCATCATCATCTGTGCACACTTATTATGAGCCAGTAGTTTTAAGGGCTTTTGTGTGTATTAGCTCATTACTCCCCACCACAGCTCTTGTGAAGTAGATACTTATCGTTATCCCTGTTTTATAGATTAGCAAACAACACAGAAGAGTTCGTTTACTTGGTTCAGATGTAGGCATCCTTGTTTTGGAGGTTTTTTTGTGTTTTTACCTCTCCATAGAAAGGAAACAATTGAAGGATTATATTTTTGCATTTCAAACTCAGTTTTTAGTTTGAGTGTAGTGTAGAATACCTAATTTAGTGTAGTGTAGAATACCTGATTTATACACACTTAAAATTTATCTTACGGAAAACACTGTAGAAACTTAAAGTTGAAAAGGGACCTTAAAATCTATTCATTTCTGTCATTTTATAGAGAGGAAGAAATTCTGTGAGAGAGGTAAAATTTTACTCAGTGCTATATATAGCAAGTTAATTTGTGGAAAGATACTAGAATCTTAAATATTCTGATTTCTATAAAGTGGAAAGAAATGCAGTGCTATGGAAAGAATATTCAAGTAGAGTTTTAAATAGCTTGAGTCTTGTTCTTGGCTCATTATTTACCCACCTTTTATCCCCAGACGCTTTGCTTCTCGTGTTATATGGGAATAGTAGCATTATTGTTACATTATGTTGTATGAATGTAGTTACATCTTCTCTACTTAGTGTTACTTGTAGTTGTGAAAATCAGTGACATAATGGATTGAGGATATTCAACAAACCTTAAAGCCCTGTAAATATAGACATGCCATATATTTTGGTATTTTTGTGACATGTCTCATAATGCTTTTAAGTATTTGTGATACCTTGGTAAACTGGGTCATTAGTAATTGATTTAGACATGTCATTTGAACCTCAAAGAATTTATTCTGTATGACATATGTTTCTTTGCCACATGGTTTTTATACTTTAGTTAAAACTAAAAATGTGGGGGGGGGGAAGGGGGAAGAAATGACCCAAACACTGTATGCACATATGAATAAAAGAAAAAAAAATATTAAAAATGTTACGCAGTTTGATTTTTTTTTTTCTCACTGTATTCACTTAGTGAATGAAAAGTACAATAACAACTACACTGCCCATTTGGTGTTTCTAATCATTTGAAAATAGCATACACAATTGTCCTCAACCTAGATTCAGTGGCTAAAATTAAAAACAGAGTTTAGCAAAGTTGAATTATTTTTTTCATGTGGTGAGCATGGGTTTGTTTTCGTAAACTTGGGAGAAGACACATTGTAACTTGTCCTTTTTTTTTTTGTCGTTTCTGTTTTTTTATAGGAATAATGTATTTGTGGCCTTGGACATGAAGTTATCAGTCCTCTGTTGCTGTTAACATAGGGTCAGGGACTGATGAGGGAAGCATGGACCTAATGAACGGGCAGGCAAGCAATGTTAATATCGCAGCTACTGCTTCTGAGGTAAGACATTTAAGAAACCTCATTGTAAGGTTTCTTACTTGGCTTTCTGAGTTTTCAAGCATTATAGTTGGTCACATTTTAAAATCAGGATGTGAGAAAAAGAACCATATAAAGTTTTTAACTTTTAATTTTGCTATTCATATGTTCACTGTATATCATAGAAACAGTTAACCCTTATCTACTTAAGATACTTGAAAAATGCTTAAAACCCTTTCTTTGGTGGTATTAAAAGGAAAAAATTCTTTTTAGGATATTCTTACATTTTTTTTTTTGTCTTTTCTTTTTTGGTGCTGGGATCAAACCCAGGGTCTTGCGCATGCTAGGCAAGCGCTGTACCACCAAGCTACCCTCTTACATGAATTTTAAGGACAATAGTACAAGTGAGACAAAGAAAAACTCTTTTATGTGGAATAACTAACTTTTAGACTTCATCTGGATTCCTTGATTTTAATCTGGTTGGAGGAGATCAAAGAACTGTCAGGCTGGAAGATTGGAAGGGCTTCCTCTGCTGACGTAGCTTAGATATTTAAGATGGAGATAAAGTTTAAACTAGGTGTTTACCTCTTTTGCTCATGAATTATGATTTTATTTCTGCCTCACCTTTTTCTTCTTTGCTTTGTCTTCAGATTTTGAGTACTTTCCTTAATAATTTTAACATCTGTTTTCTATATTTGTTTTTTTTTCCTTTTCCTGTATGGAAAAAGAATACTGTTTATGACTCACATATTTTTACCTCACAGTTCTTTAGTAGCATTTCATAGTTCAACCTTTTTTGTTTGTTTGTTTTCTTTTGTGATACTGGGATTTAAATTCAGGGCCTACACTTTGAGCCGCTTCACCATCCCTTTTTGTGATTTCCCCCCCACCCCACACACTAGCTTTGAATTGTGATCCTCCTGATTACTGCTTCCTGAGTAGCTGGTACTAAAGGCATGAGCCACCAGTTACTTCAACATTTGTTCTCTCACTTCTGTTAATAGCACCATATTTTTGTAGCCATCGCGGTTTAAATCTTTAGACTTTTGTTGTTTACACCTTTCCCCACCACACCGTTTTCTCATTACAGCAGAGTCAGCAGAAGGTAGACGTTAAACTCTTAAGGAATATAATCACGGAAGTGACATCCCTTCACTTTTGTCATATTCTGTTAATTAGAAATAAGTCACATACCCTGCTCACACTGAGGGGAGAGAATTATACAAGAACGAGAATACCAAGAGGTAGAAATTCTTGATGGCTGTCTTGGAGGCTGCCTGTCCAACATACTTCATCTCTAACTTTGTCACTTTAGAACTACTACCATCCTTGTTTGGTCATTTTATTATTTCTTTGTGTAGACTATTGCAGTGGCCTTTCAGTTTGGTCTTTCACTTTGATTTTCTGTTGTTTCTGTTCTTTTAACTGAAATTTACCATAAATATTTTAAAATCCTAGGTCTTAAACTTTATCTTGTCCTAAAACTGTTGGTGGTTACTCATTCATTGCCTACTGATTGAAGTTCAGAAGCCCCCACAGCCTTTCATTCAAAACTTTTTCTCAAAATGGCCCCAAATTTTCTTTCTGATGTATTTAGTTTCCACTGATGATCTATTGAAAGTTAATGTTGTATTGAAAGAATTAATACATTTTCTTACGTTTAGATATTTTTCTAATACTTAGAAAAGCCATTGGCTTTTCCTACTTATGTTACAACTTTGCCCCATCAGTTTTTCCACCTAGAATTTCTCTTCCCTTTCAGTGTGCCTCTTCCTTTCACAGCACAAAAAAGAAATTTTGTCTTTCAAAACATATTTCAAATGCTGTATTTTTAAGAAAGCCTTTTCTAATCGCATAAATGGATGCAAATTTTCCTATTTTTGAAACTATCACTTAAAATTGTTTCTGTATAAATTTATGCATAACTTTTCTTCCCCCTTCAGACAGGAATTACATTTGTATATATATTTACTTGGTGTATTATCACCATACTTCTTGAATGTGCTATACGTATGTATTTGTTTAGTATATTTGTAACTATATAGAAACACATAATCTAATAAGTGGTATACAAATGTTTATCAAACAAAATAGATCATTTCACTTGCATAAAATGTTCTCTTGACTTTCCTAAAAGTGTATGAATTATCTCAAATTTCAGAATAATACAATTTGGTGTATTCAAAGTAAGGGTGAAAATGTCTGCCTTTTTAAATACTTCTGCTGTGGCAAGAAAAATTAGAATAGGTATTTTCAACTTTCATTTAAGATACAGATCTATTAACACGTCAATATATATATTTCTCAAAAAAGTGGTAAACTTATAACTTGGTGCGGTCAGTACCATCTGTGTTTAATCTGTGCTTAAAGCTTCTGGTACCCATAAGAGAGCTATAGGGAACTTCCTTTTAGACTTTTAGAACTATTGTTTTTGAGCCTTGCTGTTCTCTTGGTGAATATTTTGCTTAATTACTGATTAGTTTCTTATCATTATCTCTTTATTATTGGTATTGGGGAAGCAGGTTGAAAACCATCAGTAGTAATTTTTTAAGCCTCCATTAATGACTTTTAAGAAAGAAAAAGGGGGTCTTGGTGTGTGACTCAAGCAGTAGAGCAGCTGCCTAGCAAGCACAAGGCCCTGAGTTCAAAAAATAAAAGGAAAGTGCGGAAGTGCTTATTCTTATTTGATAAGCAATAAATTGCCTTTTGTTTTGTTTTGCTAATTTGTCTTGAATGAGTTAAAAAATTGGCAAAAAATACCAGTTTATGTTCAAAGATTAATGTGTTTTCCTGACAGAATATAAATATAGTTCTTTGGACAGTTACTGGATTGGTGTCTTCACTAACGTTAACTAGTATCTATCTATTTGAATAACTAGTAGAATACTACTCCAATACTTAACATTGTGAATAAATTTCTATGTTAGTCTTGGGACATACTGTAAAACTAGTCGTAGTCAACTGTGACTATAAACAAATCATAATGAAGGAGATTGAACACAGGAAATAAAATATTCTGTCTTATTTTGGGAACTTCTGGCTTCTGCTGGTAGTTATAAAGAGCTTCTCATTATTTGTTCCTTTCTTCACCATAGGAAAAAACCTGAACAAACTTAGTCTGACTCTGCTTCTTAGCTCTGTCAGAGAATTGCTGTTACAGACCATACTGACAGTGATGACCTTGAAAACTAGAGAGATAGGCAGATAGAATCATAGCTCATCAGGAGCGGAAATCAGTGGAGCAGGAAAGGCTATGAATTAACTAATTGAGGAGTTGTTAGAGGTTGTGTGGACTAGGTTGAGAGCTAAAACTCCTAGGGGCCTCGTCTTGGGCTTGTTTCACCTTTTTTAGTGCCTTTAATCACCCCTAGGTTGCTCACCAGGTTTTCACAGTGAAGATCACAGAAAAATCCCCTAGCCAGGTGTGGGAAAGGGGTGAGTGGGATAGCTATTTTGCAATACACTCAGAGGAAAATAACCATTTAAAAGTGCATGCCTAGAGCATTGTGTTGTCCACCTACCCTCAAGGGAAATACCAGGACCTAACCTACTTAGGGAAAGAGACCCAACTATTAGCCTCTTTAGGCTTCCTGTCTTAATCAGAGTGAGAGGGACAGAAAAGCACTTGTGAAGGTCAGAGTCCAGGGACCACAGGCTCAACAAAAGACTAAAACCTAATCATAGGACCATAGAATGCTTCTCCTCACCCTACACTTTACCATCACAGCAACAGGTTTCTTGCTCCTGTATGGTAACATAATCCTACATGGATTAGAGCTGAAAAAAACTCCCAAGGTTCAGAATACTTTAAAAAAAAAAAAATAAGAGTTTCTAGAGAAACCCAAATACAACAGAGGAGAAAAAACAAGTAAGGATGTGATAGGAAGTTGAATACTGAGATATCTATAGCAAAACAAAACTGTAAACACACAATTCCTAGCATATAAACACAAAACCCTTACATGAAAGGCCTATTTAACCTCAGTTTCTGTTACACAATGTATCGTATCTGGTGTTCAGCAGAAAATAACAGAGCGTACTAAAAGGTCAGAAAAAACATAGCCTGAAGAGGTAAGTCATGCACGAAGATTACATTGTGGAATTATCTGACAAGACATTCAAATGACCATTATTAATATAATAAGGATTAGAATTAAAAAGTAGACGGTAGCAAGAACAAATGTAAGAAGGGATATTGAAACTTAAGAATCACAAAAAAAAAATGCTAGAATTCAAGAGCATTGAGACAGAAATGCAGAATGCTGTTGATGAGGTCCCTAGTAGGTAGCCAAGGAAAGAATCACTGGGATTGAAGATCTGTTCAGTAGAAACTTCCCAAAGAGAATAATGCAATGGGAGTTAGGGGAAAGGAGTAGCCAACGACTGTGGAACAATGATACCAAAGTATAAATACATATAATTGGAATATGAGAGAAGAAAGAGGAGTAGGTGAAATATGTAAAGTAATAATGGTTGAGAATCTTCCAAAATTACGATCCCTTCTATTATAATTGTCATGACTTCTTACTTGATATTTAGCTGCTAAGTGAAAATGAGGTGAAGTAAAATTAAGGCATAATGGCAAGGGCTCAAAACAGATGTATAAACTGATCATGGTGACACATGGCTGTGATCCTAGCACTTAGGCTGAGGCAGGAGGATTGCAAGATTGAGGCCAGCCTCAGCTACATAGTGAGATTCTGTCTCAGGAAAACAAAACAAATGTGCAGCCACTGATGAGTTGGTGTATGTTTATATTTACTCTCACTATTGAAGCTGTTTGTGCATATGTGTGTGTTGCTAACTTGTAACCTGATATCCTACCACCATTTAAAAGAGCCTGTTCTAAATGTTCTTACACTACTGATCCTCTGAACTCAGCCAACTGGTACAGAATATGCTTACATGTTATAGCACAGATGAAATAGAGATTTAATAGTAATAAGATTTTTAGGCTCCAAACTACGTTTTGTTCTGCATGTAGAAGCAGCATATTCAAACTTTAAAAAAAAAAAAAAAAAGCACACTAATTTATAAGAAAAGGAAGGACAATACCAATTGTACTACCAAAAACAGGCATCCCTTAACAAATAAGAATGTAGAATATATAATGGAGTTCTGAATATTTTTTTATGGCTTATGCTGATGAAAATCAGTTTCCAAAATTATAAATACAGTTATGCCCTGCATAACTGCATTTTGGTCAGCACTGGGTTCACCATACATAACATTGAATTTCTGTTGAGATTCTGTTGAGGTTCTGCTGAGATTGTGTATGTAGTGATGTCGTAGCCATTTTAGATTGTGTAAATACACTCTGATATTTACACAGTGACATAATTGTTTAACAACACACTTTTCAGAGTAAATCTGTGTCATTAAGTGATGTATTACTGTGGATGTATAACCTCCCCTGACTCCCCCCACCTCCCACCCCTGGTGCTGGGGTTTGAACTCAGCGCCTACATCTTGAGCAACTCCACCAACCCTTTTTTTGTGAAGGAGTTTTTCTAGATAGGGTCTCCTGAACTATTTGCCTGGGCTGGCTTCAAACCTCGATCCTCCTGATCATTTCCTTCTGAGTAGCTAGGATTATAGGCATGAGCCATCAGCACCTGGCTCCCCTGTTGTTTCTTTACTCCATTTGAGAACCACTGAAATAAGTAAAATATTTTAATTCTGTAGCAAATGACAGGATGTCTGGAAACCAACACATGACAGAAGGACTTACTGAAGAATCTGAAACTCTAAACTCAATGAATGGTAGATTTGAAGTTGCCTGGTCTTTAGCTAGTTTTTTCCAGCTAAGCAGCATGTTCTCCTCAGCTTTTATACAACCTCTATTTACACACTGCTCTTAGTTCCCAGTTCTTAAGGCCAGTCTAGTTCCTATGTCTCACTGTAGTGTTTTCTTTCAATTTAACAGAAAAGTAGCAGCTCTGAATCCTTAAGTGACAAAGGTTCTGAATTGAAGAAAAGCTTTGATGCTGTGGTATTTGATGTTCTTAAGGTTACACCAGAAGAGTATGCGGTAAGCCTCCTACCTCTCCCTTCTCCAGTTTTTGTACATGATTTACTAATTGGTTCTATTAAATTAGAATTCGAGGCCCTCATGGAGATTTTTTTTTTTAAGTTGAATATGGGAATTGTTGAGAGTAGCATGATTATGGAGCAAGCAGAGGACTGGGCTGGTGGGCAGGTGGAGAGTAAGAAAACTGTAGTCTTATTTGAAGCCGCTTCAGAAGTTAGGCCTTCGATTTTGTAAGTAAATAGTAAGTACTTACTTTTGTTGCTACCTGTACTGTCTCCCCAAGCTAGCTGTACTTTAACAGCATATCTGAGGAGTATTTTTTACTGTTTTAGAAATTAAAAAATTAAGAAATGAATATGAAGGCATCATTGGAATACTATGAAGCGTATCTAGAAAGTTTATTGTTTCAACTGACATAAATGTTCACTTATTTACCTTCTTATTCTGCTTTCATTTGTTAATAAAATATATTGATTTTCTGATATTGAAACTGCTTTTGCATTCTAGGAATAAATGTGCTTAATCATACATGTAATTCTTTGATTTATTGTTGAATATTGTTTTATGTCTGCAACCATAAAACATAGCATGTAAAGTCCATAGATATAATGTATTGCCTTTATTGTAGATTCATTACTTTTATAAATTAGTAAGAAAACCTTTTTATTGATACCAGATTTATATTACTATGTGAGGAATAGTAATTTAATCATCATAGCAGGAACACCCTATGAACCAGTAGATCTGATTTCATTTTTGATTTCGACTTAATGTGTTTACAGTGTCCAAATTTTTTATTTTACAAATTTTCTAACTTTTGTTAGCTCAAGAAAATACAAGTGGGCATGAGATAATTAGAAATAGTTGTATTAAGGGCTAAGTTTTCATTTTTCTGTGAGCCCATATAAAATTGAGTATTCAATAATATTTCAGTATAGAATAGAGTTTTTGTTTAGAATATATGTTACATCATAGAGTTCCAAAGAAGAAATTGTTATTTTTTTACTTTTATTTTAGGGTCAAATAACACTAATGGATGTTCCAGTATTTAAAGCTATTCAACCAGATGTAAGTAGTTTCAAGAACGTTTTTTTTAAATGTAGAAAATGATCAATTACAGTATCCTTAATTAAGAAGTTTAAGAAATGTCCAGTTACATTTCATATTGATTTTAAAATGTTTAAGGCTTAATGATGGAACTGATCTGTATTATTCAGGCTTTAGAAACTCAAGTGGTACCCATACCTGCACATTGAGTCATAAATGGGACTATTAGAATCATCTTGGTTATTTCTGCTGGAGGAAGGAATAGACTTAAAGAAGTGGAATGATTTATTCATGGCTTTGATGCTTTTTTATGGGAAGGCAGAAATTAGAAACTGTTTTGCCTCCCTTCAGTAATCTTTTCCCTTTATCTTATGTAACATGACTATTGACAGTTTAGAGAGAAGGTACCAAGGAACATATTTTCTTTTCAATTAAAAGAACACTATGTATTTACTCACTGTAAGCAATGTGTGTACTTAGTATTTGTAATATTTTCATAACTTAGATATGATAATACTTCCATTTTTACTGATGACAGTAACATTTACTGACGGCAGTGACAATTGTCCTTGATACACAGCTGTCTTAGTCTGTTTTGTGCTGTTATAACATAATGATACTGGGTCCTCTGTACAGAAAAGAGGTTTATTTAGCTTACATTTTTGGAGGCTGTAATTCCAAGATGAAGAGGCTTGATCTGTTTGGCCTGCAGGAAGGACTCTCACAACATGGTAGAAAAGTGGGAAAGGAATAGGCTGCATATAGCAGGGCCAAGCACACTAGGCAGCTAAACAACCTGCTTTTGGGAGAACTAACTGACTTCTAGAGTCTAGCTTAATTCTTTCTGGGGGTGGTACTCCAATGACCTAACCACCTTCTATATGGCTCCACCTCCTAAAGCTTCTACCACTTCCCAACGCTGCAGTACAGGAATCTGAGCCTCTTGCACATGAACCTTTGGGAGACACATGCAAACCATATCTGAACCATAGCAACAGCTATGGAACTGAGTTTCTGATTCTAAAAATTTAACAGTTTTTCTGCTCTTACCAATTGTGAATATAAATAATGATTTTTGTACCCCAGACTAAAGACTCTGGTAATCCTGAAATTCAGTACTATGATTATATATATATATAAATTTTTTTTTAGTTCTTTGGGAATAAAATGTATATTTGTTGTGGCATATATAAATCTATAGTGGTCCTGACACTGAAATGACTAATGAATTTTCATCTTTTATGTGATATGAATAGTATTAGTCATGTGATTTTTCAAGTCATTTATTTCATATGTTAATATCTCAACTTTGTTCACCTATAAAATGAAGGGGTGGATAAAAATGATTTTCAGCCCGTTATTTCTACAAATCTGTTTTCCTAACTTTTCTCCTGTACTATAAAGGATTCTCAAGATAGAACTATTGGATTAGCAGTAGACAAAAAGGAGCAATATATTTTATAAACAATGCACAAATAGAAAATGGTTTTTGTATTGAAGCAGAAAAAAAAGCTGAAATATTCATCTCCTCACTTCCTGAACAAAGCCAAATTAAATTCTTTACAAAAATTACATTCATGTCATCTTAGACATGTATTTCCTTTCGATTTTTTTTTTCCCTTTGTTTTTTGCGGCATTGAGGTTTGAACTTAGGGCCTCATGCTTGCTAGGCAGGTGCTCTTACTGCTTGAGCCCCTCCATCCAGCCCTATTTTTCCTTTTGAATAAGCCACATTTATATCACTGTTTGGCCTGAGGGCAGTGCTGACCAATGGAAATACAATGTCATTTCTATAGCTGAACATTTTCTAGAAGCCACATTATGAGGTGAAAAGAAGTGAAGTCAATTTTGAATGATTTTAGTTTTTTTGTCTTGAAATCAGTAGAAGATTATTGAGGTACATTCTTTTTCTGTATTAAGCCTTGAGTAACCTCATTTCAAGTGCTCAATATTATGGCAAGGGCTTCAACATTGTAGATCTCTGTTATACTACTAGAAGACATAGACTTCACGTCTAAGGGAATTTGGTATTCCTCTAGATCAGTGAACAGTACTTTGTGAACTTCCCTTGACAACCATCACAGTGATTTTTTTTTTTTAACCTTCTCAATGTCTATCCAGTCTCTCCTCTACTTCTAACCTCCCAATCTAAGAGATCATTTTCTCTCCACTGAATTGCTGCAGTACCCTCTTAACCTGACATACATGCTTCCACTCTGACTCCTCAAAACTGTTCTCTACCCATCAGCCATGGTAATCTTTTCAACATGTAAGTGTGCTTAAAACTCTTCAATGATTTCCCGTTGCGCCAAAGGTAAAGGTAAACCATCATAACAGGATCTCTAAACCACTTCATAGTTTTGCCTTTTCCTTCCTTCTCCAACCTTATTCTACCTCTTTCTGGTCTAGCTACAGTGGCCTTCTTTTAGTCCTTGTCACCACTGAGCCTGTGCACATCCTAGTTAACTCCTCATCTTTCAGTTCTCAGATCAAGGTTGACTTTTCCAGGTAAGCTTTTTTGTTTTTCTTTAGGCTTTCCTAGCATTGTCTACTTTTTCAGTGTTCTTAGTTGCAGTTTTACATTGGTTTATGTTTCAACAAATGTTTACTGAACACCTGTTATGTTAGGCATGGGTTTAGTTGTTTAGCATTTAGTACCATGGATCTAATATTTGAATGAAGTATACTAGGCAGTGTCATGAAAAATGTAAAGTCGGGGGAGATAGGAAATGAGAATACTAGAGTGCGAGTTGCAATTTTATTTATATTTTTGTTTGTTTACTTATTTTAATTTTGAGGACAGTATTGGGGTTTGAACTCAAAGCCTCACTTTTCCTTTCTCTTCTTTAAACTAGTTTGGGGGCAAATTACTGTATGTTTTGCTACCTCCCCTCCTTTACATCAGTGTCCAGCACATAGTTCTGAGTGGTGCTCTGTGAATTTCTTTAATTTTACTTATTTTAAAATTTTGAATTACAAAAAGTGTTGAAATCATATGACAAGGAGCCAGAGGACTCCTTTGCCATTTGTGAGTTGTGGCACTAATATGTTTCTTATCTTTGACGTAATTTTTTTTTTTTTTTTTTTCCAAACCAGAAGAACGGATATTTGGGCTAGCTGATCTTTAAAGCACCTTCTAGATCTTTGAGAAATTTCTGGAAGTAGGTGACTTCAGGATAAGAGCTGCATTTTGCTCAAAATTGCTGGGATCTTTAAGAGAAGGTTGAGGGGAAGTCACTAGTCAAATGTTTATGGATCGGGGTCTGTCTGAAAGTTACTAGTCAAATGTTTATGGATCGGGGTCTGTCTGAAAGGTAAATTTCGCAAGGGCAGGAACCTTAGTCTGTTCCATTCACTGGTGAACCTAGTACCTGGAATAATACCTATTACCCTGTTCAAAATTCAAACTTGATAAATGGCCATTCCAAAGCTTCATACTGTGCAGCATATAGGCATACCATTTCCCATTGTTTATCATGTTTGGAGTAATTTCTGCAAAAGTCTGTGAACAATCCAATGTGACTTCTGTAAAGTAACATTCTTTTTGTGGAAAATGAAGTTTTCTTCTGTAATTTAGAGTATTTTCAGTTTTCTTTTCTAATATGAATTCTCCAGTGCTGAATAGGGCAGAAGTTTACCTGAAAGGCTTTGCACATTCATTAATTTCTTGTGTGATTTTAATATTCAATTGAAGCTTGGCTCTCATTGAAGTTTCTTCACATCTTATGTACATGGATTTCCCTAATATGATTTCTCTTTTGATGATGGTTTATTTTGTTTTAGAAACCTTTTACACATTCATAGGACCACTCTCCGTGAGTTCTTTCAAATTGAGGAGTTGTTGATTGTATTCTGAAGGTTCAGCATGTTGTTATATTCATGGATTTCATCTGAAGACTTTGCCACATTTATACCAACAGGGCTTTTCAGAGTGTGTTTTATATCATTCAGCTCAGGCTGAATTATAACAGAAAGGTGGCTTGCAATCCAATTTTCTCTTCAGTAGCAATTCTCTAGGCTTCCCCACACCCCCCATAAATCTTAAAGGATGAACTGTGTTTAAAATCTATACTGCAGTCATTACAGTGGGTAATGTTTGCCTTTTTTACAAGGTTCTCAAGTGTTAATAAAGTGACAAGTTCTTCCTGAAATTCTTCTAATAGATACTATACTCAACAAGGAAAGTTCCACATTTTAACTCTAGTAGCTCAACACAGTCATTTAAATTACATTTCTGTATCTGCAGGTTCTGCATCCAGATATACAAACAACCACAAATTGAACATACTTGGGAAAAAAATAAACCTGTAATAAACATGTACAGACTTTTATCCTTGTCGCTATTCTTTAAGCAAGGCAGTATAATAGCTGCAGGTTGACAATCCTTAATCTGAAATTTGGAGCATTTTTGGGTTTCAAGTTTTCAGATTAGAGATGCTCAATTGATAGTCTACACAAATGTTCCAAAATCTAAAAGCTCCAAAATGTGAAATACTTCTGGCCCCAGTCATTTCAAGTAAGGAAACATATTAGATAGCAACACTTCACTGAAAATGGGAGTGTAAATTTTTTCAGACCTTTAAAGTTTAGGAATATTTATCATCCCCAACATTTCAGACAGGGAACATTCAGCCTGCATTTATATAACATTTACATTATTTTAGGTATTAGAAGTAGTCTAAAGATACTTTACAGTATATGGGAGGATATGCATAGGTTATATTCAAGTACTATTATTTTATATAAGAGATTTGGTATCTGAGGGTAGTCCTGGAACAGTCTCCCAGTAGATACTGAGAGAAGACTGTATGTTAGTGAGAAGACCTTAAATACAAAGAATAAATAAGTCCCTTCTGTACAACTATGGTTCACTAGAGATTGAGAAAGAATAATGGTTAAATGAGGTAAAATGTATACTAGTTAATTATGAATCTTATTTCTGAGACACAATTGAGATTTTTCTTAATGATATGTGTAAAAGAGCTTTCTTTGTGTAAACTTTTTTGTGTTTGCCAAAAGACTTCTTGTGGCAACATCCAAAGATCTAGCCAGCATCAAGTATATCATAATTCTGTCCTGCTGTCATGAAAGTTATGATTGCATTATAATTAAAATGTAAGCAATCCACAGATATAGTGAGGTACCTGAAGATAGCAAAGACATGTAAATTTGAAATTTTTCTTATAGTCTGGAGTAAACTGTTATTGTCAGTTTGTATTCTTGCTGTTCGTTACTATGAACTCCTTAGTATATAGTAAGATAAGGTTTGGATTAGGACTAGAGAAAGTAACGAAGAAAATTGTTGTTTTAAAGAGTAGATACATTATGGCATCCTGGGAAGAAGAAAATAGTTCTTGTCTGTATCTCTAATCTCATTATTGAGGCAATTTTAACATACTGAGAGGAGGGAGAGGAAGAAAGGGTGAGTACATTAGAAAAGAGAAAGGGTATTTTTAGTTTATCTTATTTCATTGGAGTTGTATAACTTCAAAATATGTTTTGAATTAAAAATACTGGGATGTTAGTGAGTGCTTTATGTGTGGCAGACTTCTTTCTTCCTGAATGCAGATGGATACACAATATCCCTTTAAAGCTTTCTACTTTTGAGTAGAAAGATAGCTCAGAAACAGTTACCTTCTCTTCATGTCCCCTATCACAATTGCTTCTCCCACCCACAGTCTTTTGGACTCCATAGCTTTTCTTTTCCTCCCTTAATCTCTTGTCTACATGCTATATTGGCCTTTTCTCTTCTTCTGTCTATAGGTATCCCTACATCATCACCCTTAGAACAGTCCTTTTAAGAGTGTTGGCACCTACAAGATGAAATTTAGATCAAGAATTTCACTTTACAGATCAAACCTACAAGACGTAAGAGAAGCTGTGACTCCTGTGAATTCAGTAATTCTTTCATAGGGTAGGTGGTGAGTGATCAGTTGTGGGGTTTTACCTTCCCATGTGCTTCCAAATAAATGCAACTGAATTTTGGGCTAAACACTTTCATGGTTCCAAATGGATCCATGAATATTCTTTCAAATACATTTCAGAGGCTGCTAGGAAATTGTCTTTATATATCTGCATTATTCAAAGATTCTCTTTACTGCCTGAACTTAAAATTGCAAGTTAAATACATTGGAACAAATTTTAAGGAATGTTAAGGCTACTATGTATTTCATTTAGCCTTTGGAGGCTTATTTACATAGTATATTTAAACCAGTCCTATTTTTACATCAGATCCTATAAAAAAGCATCTTTCGTGTGACTAAGTTTATTCAACTTTGTGCTGTTCATGTGAGATGTTTTAATATATAATATATCTTGTGACCAGGGTGAAAATTTTCAATATGAAGATGACAGTTGTGACAGAATTTATTTCTTAGATTGTACTCTAGTGTGTCTTGGAGGAAGAGCTTAGAGTCTGAGACAAAAAGAGATAGAGACTATAGGAAAGTTTTAAATTTCTCTTTTTCCTCTGAAGACACTTAGTAATTTTAGTACATGAAATAAACTGATAATACATAGATTAGCAGGAGATAAACCAAACAAAAATTTGTTCCATGTATAGGTATAGGAGCCACACCCAAAGTATGAGTGAAACTCAAGGAAAGGGCCAGAGGATTGATGCTTCCATACTGTATTTACATTACACACAAAGTAATAGGGTGGGTGGACGCGGCCACAGTAAGTTCAGGAGATAAACTGCACAATCATCAAAGGTTGTCTTACCTATGTAAACAAAGTTTTCAGGTAGCAACCCTCTGAAGATATTCATGGTCATCTGTTTGGGCCAGATGTCAGATCCCCAATTTCTTCTTCCTATGAAAAGATCTCTTGTAGACAGAAAGAAGATCTGCATCCCCTGCTTACTTTACTAATACAGATTTTTATTAGTAAAATGTTTTGCTTTGTTCCCCAGGTTATCCTGTACTTCTAGGCTCAATCAATCTTCTCACCTCAACCTTCCAAGAAGCTGGAACTGTAATAGGCACGCACCACTATGCCCAACTCAAAAAGATTTTTTTTAATTTCTAAATTTTATTTGCAAAAGGATATTTTTTTCAAAGCCATTCCTATGACTGCAGAGGTCTGCAGTTTCTCTGAATAACCAACTTGAAATATACCAAAGAAGTACATTTGGATGGCCTGTTTTGATCTCTCTTGAGACAAAAGTAAAGCAGTATTTTTCTCACATAGGAACTTAAGTGACTATTGGGAGGCAAAGCGAAAAACATTTTAAGACTGGGTAATCCTGAATGCATGTCAAGATTTAAGAAAGTAATCAGTGAGTTCCTGGAGTCTTAATATAGCTTCATAATCCATTAGATGATTTTTGTTATTTTTTAAGCCTTTTATTGTGAGATAATTAAAAATCTATAGAAAGTTGTACTATAGAAAGTTGTAAGATAGGAAGTTGTAAAAATAGTGCAGAAAATTCGCATTTACCTTCCGGTCAGTTTTTCTCAACAGTTAGTCTTTCTTAACTGTAGTACAATATCAAAATCAGGAAACTCACATTTTTAAAATATATATCTATGTAGTTCTATGACATTTTATCTCATATGTATATGTTTGTGTGTATATATGTATATTTATACACATACAAACACACACACGCGTTTGTCTGTACCACCACAGTCAAACAGATGTGTTGACGTGTTCATCACCAGAGTTCTTCCTGTGCTACCCTTTCTAGTCCTACCCATCCCACTACTCCCCACACCCACCATCCTTAACCCTTGGCAACCACTGATTAAGTCTCCATCTTTCTAGTTTTATTTGTTGTTGTGTCAGATAGGGTAGTAATTTAACATTGTTTCAAAAGGGAAAATGTTTTATGGAGTAGAAACTATAGCCTTACCAGTTTTGTTTTTAAAAACCCTCCTGGTTTTTTTTTAATTATAAGCATCTTTAGAATGGAGAGCTCCAATAGCATAGTAAACTGTTTGATCCCAAATATCATGACTGTTCATTGCGCTCTTTTTTTTTTTTTCAACCCTCCTCTCTGTTTCCAACAGAGTTTTCTTAAAGTGGGACAGCGTTTTTTCCATTAAATGAATTATGCTAAAAAGTTCTAAAAGTTGAATGGATTTTCTAAAAACTTAGGATTTTTTGAGGAGTCAGAAAAGCATTTAAAGGGGCTAGGGATATAGTTCTGTAGTAGGGGCTTACCTACCATGTGCAAAGCCCTGGATTCAATTCAGTACTTCCCTCCCTCCCCCCAAATAAAAAGGAAAGAAAAAAAATTTTTTTAATGTTAAAAATGAAGCCAGGTGTGTTGACACACAGCCGTAATCCAAGCATTTGGGAGGCTGAGGTAAAGAGGATTGTGAGTTTGAGGCCAGCCTGAGTTACATAATGAGACCCTGTTTAAAAAAAAAAAATAGGTCATAATTCACTAATATTTCTGTCTAGGTCTCTTATTTATCATGATATATTGTAATTATAAAGATAGGATCAAATGAGTTGTTATGAATAAAGCACTATGACGTAGTAATTTCTGTGTATTAGTATTAGCTGTTCTATTACGGCTTTTATTAAGACATCTGTTTTCAGGATGGAACAAACTTTTAAAACATAATCAGTGTATTTAATTACATAGGACAGGACAGGTATATTGACTACTCTAAACGAATAAAAAATGGGCTATATACACATATGTAGAAGACTAGGAAGATATTTCTCTATGTTTTCTTTGAGTGGTAGACTCAACAGGTGACTCACAGCCCTCTCCCTATTCCTGTATTTCTCTGTTTGACAACAAACATAATTATTCTCATAATTGGGGTAATTGAGGCAATAATATATAGAAAGAGAAAGAAATATACCTAGTTTGATAAGACTGTTATGAAACTGACAGTCATTGTTAATGGTAGTATAAATGATTCATTATTTTGGGAAGGGGGTGCAATTTAACAAGTTTCAAAACATTAAAAAGGTTATGTGCTCTTTGACCTAGTGATTTCACTTCTAGGACTATATCTTTAGGAAATCAGAAATGTCAGAAAAGATATAAGGATGTTCCTTATTTGTAACATAACATTGCTTATCGTTGGAAAATGAAATCACCCTTACATGTAAATATCTATAATTGTGTCAGATGACTACTTTGAATGGTTTTGATAAGTTTAAATTGTAATCTGATGGACACACTTTGATTATTGCATTAACATAAATTTGGAAATTACATTAATTTTATCTGGGATTCTTATGATAAATCATAATAATAATGGATCAAACTAGCTACTATGTATAAAGCACTTAGGTTGACATGTAGCAATTATCTTGAGAAGAATCCACCAGTATTTTGTCTACAAAGTATGTTTGCCTAAGTTATTTTAGGCAAGTGATTTTACTGTCCTATATTTTCTAATAAAATTTGCTTAAAGTCATTTCAGAAAAGTACAAATTGTCTTTAATGTTTGAAATTCCTTATTATAAGAAAACTGGACTGTTTTTTAGATTTAATTTTCACCTTATTTTTCCAGGAGCTTTCAAGTTGTGGATGGAATAAAAAAGAAAAATATAGTTCTGCACCAAATGCAGTTGCCTTCACAAGAAGATTTAATCATGTGAGTTGTTTATAAAATTTTGGTCATCTCTGAAATTTAGTTCCTCAGTAAATAAGTTTTCTTTTGTCTTTTCACACCAGTTATAGAATATTTTCATTTTATTTATTTATTTATTTGGAAGCAGTGGGATTTGAACTCAGGGCCTCATACTTGCTAGGCAGATACTTCACCACTTGAGCCACTCTGCCAGCCCTGTGTTGTGAAGTATTTTCAGCCAGTACTTCTTTAAATATTGTCTGTATTTATGATCTGTACCCGCCACCCCCAATTGCTATTGGAAATTTGTTGGAAATTGACATTCTTGTCTCTTAACTGTCTCTATCTTTTGTTTATCTCTGTGCTCCATTTGGAGGACTTCCTCAGATCTGAATTTCAGTTCACTAATTTCCTTCAGATGTGTGTTGGGGGGGGCGTTGTTTTGTTTTTGTTTCTGGTTTTGTTTTGTTATTTTTTGTGTGTGTGTGCAGTGCTGTGAATCAAACCCAGGGCCTCACGCATTTGAAGCAAGTACTCAACCATCAGGCTACCCAACCCTTCAGATATGTTTTATCTGTTTGTCACTATGTTCCTTTACCTTAATGTCATGTTCTTTTCATATTTTTTCACTTTAAAGTAATTTTGGACAACTTATTGTTTCTGTATTAATATCTGAAATCCTTATGGATACTCTTTTCTCCATTTTTTTCTGTTAATCCTTACTCATAAGAGTTTATTTGTTAGGAGTTTCATAAGTTTAGATTGAAAGCTCATTTCTGTATAAGCTTTGTGGTCATTGCTGCTGTCTTAGATTAAAGGTATATCCTTTCTGGGAGGCTATTTGGTTTTGTAGTACACAGGTCTATCACAAACGGAAGACTATTTTTTATGTTAAATTTTTGGTTGGAGAATATCTGTATTTCTCTGTAATGGAACTTTAAACTCCAAATGTAGCTAAGGTCTTTTATGAAGGACTAATTTTTTTCTCCTTGACTACCCAAAAGCCTAGATTAATATGAACATCTGTGTTGTCTTCCCTTTTCAATAGGTGAATGGTTTTGTTCCAGTTTTTACTGAGATTGCAGCCCTTGTGGAGTCCTTAGATAGAAATAGATGAAGAAGTGAGAAGTGTGAGGTCCTGTGTCTTTTTCTGAAAGAGTATTAAGTCCAAGCCTGTACATCACTAAGACAGGAAATCCTCCAAGGACAGTTGCTGTATCCACTCTTGTAACTGATGCTTTGCCTTTATTTCCTTCTTTGTGTTTGGCCTCAGCAAATCCTTTATTGTCCTTCCAACTCAGATTGTGTGTGCATGTTAATTTTGTTATATTTAATCCAGCATTTCTAGGACTTTATAGTGAATAGATTCTCAGGTTATTTGAGTCACTGTACTCCCCCAAATGGAAGTGAGGTTAAGCTTTTTAAAAGGAGATTGAAGCCGTTAATAGGAGCATAGGAAGAACATGTCTTGTACTGAATTGGTTACTTGAGCTATATAATAGTTATTTAAAAACTTTTTCTGAGGTGGTCAGGGTTTATCATTACAGTAAAAGTTTTTTTTTTGCAGGATGTCCTAAACTGTTAATATGCCAAAGTGTTTTGTAAATCTTCAAGAGAATTCTAGAGTGGCATTTTCTAGGACTGGTAGAGTGGCTCAAGTGGTAGAGCACTTGCCTAGCAAGTGTAAGGCCCGGAATTCAAGCCCCAGTACTACCAAAAGAAAAACAAAAACAAAAAAACCCCGTGATATAGAGCAATGTTTTCTAAATGTCTTTGGCCGTGTAACTTTTTTTAAAAATTTTTTTATTTTCTTTTTGAATTAGCATGTATTAATATACATGGGGGGGTTTGTTGTGATAATTCCATACATGAGCACAGTATACTTTGAACAAGTTCACCCCTCCATTTTATTCCCATCCCCTGAATAGTACTCACGAATTTGACATTAGAGTTTAAGCAGTCATATTATTCTTAAGTAAACCAGGTTGTTAGAGTCAAGTATGGCACAATACACCAAAAGCTTTTATTCTTAATCCAGATTGCAGTTGATCCCCTAATAAGCCTTATTATTACATATACTCCATTACTCTGTTATCTAGTAAGGTGTTACAAGAGATCTGAACTAGGAAATTAGAAAGGACGTTAGGAAGAGTTGTATAGAGACACCTGTCTGCATATTTACTTTTAAAATGTCTCAGTGGACAGCATCCAATTGGGTCTTACTGTTTATATACAGTCTGACAATCTTGCCTTTTAACTTGGACTTAGGAAAAAAACGAAAAACTAGTTCAGAGAGTTTCCATATTCTCCCAGCTCCATGTCAGCATCTTCTATACCAATAGTATAGTTGTCAGAACCAGGAGATTCATGTCGGTACAATGCTGTTAACTAAAGACCTTACTCAAATTTCTTCAGTTTTCTCAGTAATACCCTTTTGTAGTGTTGTTCTAAGATACTGTTTTGCATCCCACATTGCACTTAATTATTACTAGTTTCAGCAAAAGGGTTATTTTTCATTCCGTCTCTTCTTAGTTTTTTTTAATTGACAAATTGTATACCTGTAGGCAAACAACATAATATTTTGTTACATGTCTGCGTTGTAGAATTGATTAAATCAAGCCAGTTAATCAGTCACCTCATGATTACATTTTTATATTAAGAGCACTTAAAATCTGTTCTCAGCAAATTCATGTACATGATACATTATTATTAATTGTCATTAGGCCATATAATAGATCTTTTTTTGTTTGTTTTTGTTTTGTTTTAGTGGTACTGGGTTCAGACTCAGGGCCTTAGGCTTGCTAGGCAGGCACTCTATCATTTGAGTCACACCTCCAGAATTTTTTGCTTTAGTTATTTTCTGATAGTGTCTAGCATTTTTTCATGGGTCACCAATAATGTATAAAGGTTCCTTTTCCCCCATATGCTGTCCAGCATTAGTTATTTGTTTCTTTTTGGGTCATACAGGAATTTGACCAGGGCCTCTGCTTGCTAGGCATGCAATCTACCACTTGAGCCATTCTGCCAGCCCCAGAATTTTTTGCTTTAGTTATTTTCTGATAGTGTCTAGCATTTTTTCATGGGTCACCAATAATGTATAAAGGTTCCTTTTCCCCCATATGCTGTCCAGCATTAGTTATTTGTTTTCTTTTGGGGTCATACAGGAATTTGAACTCAGGGCCTCATGCTTGCTAGGCAGGCAATCTACCACTTGAGCCATTCTGCCAGCCCTTTTTTGTGTTTGGTATTTTCAAGATAGGGTCTTGTGTACTGTTTACCCAGGCTGGCCTTGAACCTTATCCTCCTAATTGCTGCTTCTTGAGTAGCTAGGATTATAGGTGTGAGCCCCTGGTACCCAGCTATTGTTTGTTTTCTTAATGGTTGCCATTCTGATTGGGGTAAAATTAAATTTCAGTGTCATTTTGATGTGCATTTCCTTTATGGCTAAGCATGTTGAACATTTCTTCATGTATTTATTAGCCATTGTATTTCTTTTGAGAACTTTCTGTTCAGTTCTTTTGCTTATTTGCTAATTACATTATTGTTTTAATGTTGAATTTTTAAGCTCTTTATATATTCTGAATATTAATCCTTCATCTGGTTAATAGCCTGAAAACATTTTCTCCCATTCTGTGGCTTGTCTCTTGATTCTGGTAATTGCTTCTTTTGATGTGCAGCTTTTTAATTGGATGCAATCCCATTTGCCACTTCTTGCTCTTATTTCCTGGGCAGTTAGAGGCCTTTTCAGAAAGTAATTACTGATGCCTATATTCATCTGTTTTCCTATAGTAGTTTCAAAGTTTTAGATCTTACATTCAGATCTTTGATCCACTGCTTGGAAGCGAGAGGGCGGGGGGAAGGGGGGAGTAATGACCCAATCATTGTATACATCTATAAATAAAGGAAAAAAAATCTTTGATCCATTTTGAATTGGTATCTTGTACAAGGTGAAAGATAGGAGTTTAATTTTAGTCTTATCTGTGTAGGTAGCCAGTTTTCTTAGCACCATTTGTTGAAGAGGCTAGCTTTTCTCCAATGTATGTTTTTGCTCTCTTGTCAAAAGTCAGATGGGTATAGCTATGTGGGTTTATTTGTAGGTCTTCTGTTCTGTTCCCTTGGTCTGGGTGTCTTTTTATGCCAGTACCATGTTTTTTTCGTTTTTTAATCTTTTGTTATTGTTATTGTTGTTATTCTGGCTCTGTAGTATAATTCGAAGTTCAGTATTGTGATGCCTCTAGCATTGTTCTTTCTGCTCAGAATTATTTTTGCTATTCTGGGCCTTTGTATTTCCATTTGAGTTTTAGGATTGATTTTTCTTTTTCTGTTTCTGTGAAGAATGACATTGGGATTTTAATGAAAATTGCATTGAATCTGTAGCTTGCTTTTGGCTGTATAGCTCTGTGTGTTAGTAGTATAGCATTGGTATTAGTTCATTACAGGTCTGGTAGAATTTGGCAGTGAATCTATCTGGTCCTGGGCTCTTCTTTGTGGGAGACTTTTTATTGCTTCAGTCTCATTGCTTGTTGTACACCTACTTAAGTGGTTTATATCATCTTGGTTTAATTTTGGTAAGTCAAATGCATCCAGAAAGTTAGCCATTTCTTCTAGATTTTCCAGTTCATTAGAACATGTTTTCAAAGTATTCCCTAATGATCCTCTGAATTTCGTTGGTGTTTGTTGTGATATCCCCCTTTTCACCTCTAATTTTATTAATTTGGGTCTTCTCCCTCCTTTTGGGTAGTTTGGCTAAAGGTTTATCAATCTTGTTTATCTTTTCAGAGAACTAACTTTTTGTTTCATTAATTCTTTGTATTTTCTTTAGTCCCCCTCTGATTAATTTCTCCCCTAATCTGTATTATTTTCTCTGCCTACTAGGTTTAGTTGTTGTTTCTAAGAGTATGAAGTGCATCATTAGGTTATTTGATATCTTTCTGGTTTTTTAGTGTAGATGCTCATAGCTGTAAACTTCCTATGTATCCACAGTTCTGGTAAGTTGTCTTTCCATTTTCATTTGGTTCTTGGAA